TTCAAACACAGAAATCGTTTTTGCGTTTGGTTAATAAATTGCAAAACGGAAAAAAAAAAAAGGTGGGGTTTTTAGTTTACTGTTGCTTCTTCTTTAGGTTACTGTTGCTTCTTCGATCTGAAGTTTTTTTTTTTTAAATATATTCTTGATATAAAAACAAAATCCCAAATTTCTTTTGAAAGGGTTTCTAGGAAACTTGTAAATGTATTTGGTGGATGATTTTGTCTCAAATTTTTTTTTAGATCTCCCGAAAAAATTTGGTTATAATATTTTGAAATACATCTCGTGACTGGCATCCATTCTATCCCTTGAATGGTGTAGATGGACTAAACGATGAAAAATAAGGATAAATAACAGATCTTTGCAATTTTTCGAATGTGTAGAGTTTTTATGATTGAGGTCAGTTTAAATTATTTTATAAAAGTATGTATGGATTTTTATGTGTAGTGTGTCGATAGTGTATGTATAGGGGGTTTAGTGTATTAATCCTTGTATAGGTGTCTTTGTAGGGTATGAAAAATATGAATGCTTAGGGGTGTATGCATGTAGACTAGAGAACAATTACTGGAACTTTCCTATGACCCAAAATCAAGGAGGAAATTTAGATTGACATATTAAAGTAATTTTGAGTGTTGAATTGGCATAACTAAAAAACAAATTGAACATGGCTCCTGTCATTTGCCGTGCCATTTGATCGTTAGAGATGTTAGTAGTTTGGTTCGTCTTCGTAGTATTGCCATCATCACTCAAATTCTTTAGTTTGGCAATAAAAGTTTTCGCCAGAAGCCAGATTTTAGGAGAAGATTTAGTTTGCTTGGTTAATTACGAAATTGAGTGCTAAAATGTATTATTTTGAGTGATGTATCTATAACTGTACTAATAGAGCTACATTTAAATATAAATTTAAATTTGAGAATACAAAATGTTATTCTTTATGAAAACAAGTATAATATTCTAAAACGATACTTATTATGAAAAAGACAACGTACAAACGACTTCTTGGAGTCATCAAGACAACGTACAAACATTTCTGCTGCTAAACTTCTAAACTTCACTAATTTCATCTGCAGATGCATCCCACTTTCTGGCTGATAGTTT